GCCCTGCACTCCTAACCCAACTCACCCATCTACACGCAGCACTGCTCTCACTTACCGCACTACCCTCCGCCATTCACCTCCATCGCGACACATTATTGACACGCACTCCACCACCCACATCGCCTTTCACTTCCGTTGTCAGTTTGATGGATAAGTGTAAGCACACTGCCACTACCACGCTCTCACACATGTTTATGCTCTCGCATTTGCAAGTTTTTGTGTCAATTGCACCCCTCCTATGCCGCGCTCCATTTCAATCAGACCTTGCGAGCCACCACTTTTTGCCAATGCTTTGGTCAACTTCGTGGTCGAAGCAGTGCTTTGCTCGCTTGACTGCTTCAGGACGCATACTGGTTTGGACCACTTCTCCAGCCTTCAAACCATGCAAACAATCCTCTTCCTCCTCCATCCGCTGCCGTCCCTTCCCCCACAGTCGAACTTGAATGCTTCGCACATTCCCACTTCACGAGTTTAGCCAATGGCAGCTGAGAGTGCCCTCCTTCAACCATTCCATGCACATCTGCCCTCCCGCTCCCATCCTGAGGTACCCTGACGTCTACCATCTCAAGCACCCAACTAACTAGGCAGTGTAGTGGTTGTGAGCGTAACGTTGACACCCCCACCATCCTCCGCCTCTGTGTCACCACCACCACCGCCACCACCACCATCCGCACACTTCATACCAGGAATAGCCTCCGCACTTGACTTCAACCAACTCAGCTAAATCAGAGGAAGGTGGTAAAGCTCACTGAACTGAATGGATTCACGCACTGTCTTCTCCCCAGACACACACACACACAGAGGTAAAGGTGAGAACTTAACAACAAAACCTCCTACTCCCATTGACCTACTCCATCCACTCGGTTTCTACACTTGTATTGCATTAGCAAAGGCAACTGCGTCTGCATGACTCTGCTTAAACAAGCTATGCCATTTGCGTCAAACAACTGTCGTGGCACTCGCAACAACCAATCATCTCCACAGGCAACCGGTATGCATGTGCGCCATTGCACACACTGGCTTACCTTGCACAAGTCCGCCTCTTCTCTTCAGCCCCAACACACGCACACACACACATGTCAACGCAACCGCAACACCTGCAATAATTATTATCCTTCTTTGTCACA